GAAAAACGATAATTAACTCGTATTTCTCATGTTATAAATTCAAGAAGCTTTTAATTAATTTCGTCGTAGATACATAAAGTAATAATATTAACAAATAATTGTTTATACACATCTACGCATAAATGTTTTTAACTTTTGAACCGATCTAAAACTCAGCAATAAATCATGTTACGAAGTTTACGCAATAAATATCTATTAATTTATAGTTTGGAATTTGTGAAATTACATTATGAAATTGTTTTTCCGGAATTTGAAGTAAAATTTTAGTTAAATAGAAATATTTCATTTTAAAGAATTAAATTGTTATTTAATAAATAATCAAATATTTATAAATGAGATTATTAATATATTAACGTAATTTCAATTGAAAATGTTTTCTTCAATATATGTATAAGTGTATCAACATTGTACGAATAGTCAAAGATTAAAAAAATGTGTTGTATGTGATACGATCTTGAAACACTATAGTTATCGCAATAAATGCTAACCACGATTACATCGGTGTATCACGCAAGATATATCATAATACAAAGAAATGAAGATAGAGAAACAAAAACTTTACGTGCACATAGATTTAGGTTTCTATTCAATAAATCTTAACGATGATATCATTACATTGCCGTTGTGCAAGTTTTATACATAATAAAAAGGATATGCAATGACAATATAACGATACCATCGTTAAGAGTTACAGACTAGAGGTGTCAAAGGTTTTAATAAGAAGGGAATAAAAAAATGTTTCGATTGAAAGTAGAAAGTAATCCAATTAATTGTAAAATATGTTTAAATCACTTAGTCATCTCGCTATTACTTTGTTAATATTAAAAGACGATCTGGTTAAATAATCGCTTTCAAGCTTCCGCAAGTGTAATTACCTGACACTTAAATCGTCTGTCTTATGGTGGCAGCATAGTTTACTGAGCGGGACTTAGGAACTTGTTCACGCTTTCTCGATAATTCAAGCTTACTGTCGAACGGAACTTTCTACGGACCTACCAAGCATCTGAACATCGGCACAAACATATATCACGCATCTAGAATTTCCAGCGTGCAGCCTCCAGTTACTACCTTCCATAAAGTATACCCGGAAGTTACACGGAATTTGTAAGCGAATTATGTTTTTCTTCAATTAAATTTTAATTGTTTATTAGCTGAAAGACAGTAAGGGAGTTATTAATTTTGTTAAAGAAATAATTAAGTTGTAGAAGGGCAGTAATCGAAATAAAATTTAAAACTGGATTCGAAATTTCTTAGATCGTACGTGATCCTGAACATAGCTATATCAATATCTTCTAAGACTTTACCAAAGAAAGTCGGAAACTAAGGTGCGCTATATTCTTTCTTTTACACTATACATAATGTAACATGCTTTTATAATGATATTCGAGACAGATCGTCAACATTACTTAAATTTGACTGTTAAAAATTGATTATATAGACATAACTTTGAGACTTTTTTATTTTTAAAAATTTAGAAATACTTTTATTAATTAATATTTAATCTACAAAGCTTGATAAATATGCCATAGCGCTATAGTTTAAATGCTTGAAAACTTGAATTTGAAATATTGTCTTTTGATATCTAAACATTAAATAGATCTATTTAATATACTTTATTTAATATGAATTTATTTAATAAATATATTTATTTAATATATTAAAATTTTAGATTTAGAATTCTTGATGTTTTATTTATTTAGAAATAGCATAAAGCGAACAGTAATTAAGTTTTCATTTATTGCAAGAAATCATTAGTTATTAATTAAAGCATTAAACCGGAGAAAATTGTTGAATACGGCTTGCGGGATTTGAGAACCTAATTTACAAGACCTGAAGGTACGTATCTATCATTTGCAATTGCTATTTAGCGGTTGCGCAATTCTCTGTTGAACACAGATGCCGATGCCACGCCAAGGTAGAGTGAAATATACGTTGTGAAACACTGTTTCTCTGAACAATATACAAATATCATTTCTTTAAACAACATTTTAAAACTTAAAATAAGCATTAGTAATTGGAAAAATTTTCAATATCTGGAAACACTGGTAGTGTGTCGGTGCTAAGTTATAGCGCGAGACATATTATTTATACGAATATGTTTGCTGAAAAACAAAGTGTAGAGAAAAGGGAAATACTCTTTCAAAATATTTGAAAAATATAACAAATACGGTTTAGTAGAGAATTTCTCCCGTTTGTGCGTTTTTTGAAGCTTGCAGAAATAACAAACAATGTCTATCATAGAAAAAAGTATTAAAATTTATTCTACACGTGCCAATGTAAATATATACGTTTTATTTTTGTTGTAAGAGAACTTTTTTGAGTTCTAGGCAAAGATGAAACTGATGAAATGATTTGCAATAATCCTTTAATCATTTTGAACATTTCAGTTCAGTCGATTTGTTAATGAGGACATAGCAGGGTGCGTAATGCAATTGTTAATTCGCTTCTTGTTTACGTCGCTGTCAGTTTCAATTGCTGTTGTATGTTTTCGCGTATTCGCCGAATACAACATATCGATGTAAAACGACGTGTGTTGGGCGAAACATGAACGTCGATCAGCCTCACGGCAAATCATTCGTGTATCGTTGTGAGTTGGATGCATGAATGAAACATATACATTCGCGCAGCTCTTAAATTATTTTAGCGTTACTGCTACTAGATATTATCCCCGCGCTTATTAGTGTCACGCGCATGCACCCAACTCTGAATTTTGCGAGAAATATCACCTGGCTAGTTCTCCAGGTAAGTTTCGTTAATTACGGATTCTAGCTCTTCTTCTAAACCTTCACACCGAACTGAAAAGTCATGGAACTGGCTGAAACGCAAGGCATTTTTATTTAAAAATGAACCTATTATATAGGTTTTTTTGTAAAGTTCTATCTTGATTACTATTCCTATTTCAATTTTATATATTCTTTCAAGTTTAACTTTTTAAGAAATATGAAATATAGTAATGTTAAATGAAGTAAAATGTTAGATCGATAATATACAAAATTTATTTATTGCTTCTTGCTGTGTGCTTTTTCTTGCTACTTGATTTTGTTTTGTTATTACGCTGTCTTTATTCTTTACTCTGATTATTATTACAAGACGGAATTCAGTGTCTTGGTATCCAATTTTTAATCATTTAAAAATATTTGTAATATTTTTCCTTCCAAGAGATAACATTATTATTACAATTAATCAATAAATTCGCTGTTAATTCATAAAATATGCAATATCGTTCCAAGTAGCGAATTATTTGGAGAGAAACAGTGACATCGCGGAAATGGCGTAATTGTTATTGTCTCATATTATGTAATTTGCTAACTATTCGAAAAGCAAGAACTTATTGAAATTGATAAGTCAGAATAAGATATTATATGAAGATTATATGCCTTTTTGTTTCATGCAAATATCATATACACTCTTTTGTTTTTTGTACTTTTATAAAGCAGTATTGATTTTACATTTTTAAAACAGAAAAAATGCATACGTTTTTTTACAATTTAAATATTAACTTTTTCTTGTACATTTTCAATACTATGATGAGACTAATCCTATGAAATCATAGTTTATGCTTTTAAAAACTTTCTTGGTGTTCTGACTTTATAAATATGCTTTCTATTAACATTATAACAATAGCTGTTACCTCGTATTCAAGGCTAACGAGTGGCTTTTATAATTCTCTTAAGGGATTTTAATTTTAAAGTTCGTAACTTCTTTCTCTCTCTCTCTCTCTCTTTCTCTCTCTCTTTCTTTTCTCTCTCATCATTCTGTTATACATCAATGGGAAAGTTGTACTTTTTAATGTAACGAAGCTGATGTATGTAGAGACAATACCGAATAATAAAATAACGTTAGTGAAGCTTACATTCAAAGATTTACAGAATTCTTTGATTATTTCAAAATTATCAATTTTTTCTCAATGGAAGTTTAACTCCTTATTTTTTCACAATATGCTAATTTTTTTCATTAAACAATATAACGACGTTATATTGTTTTTAAAACATTAACATATCAATGTTTTCACTAAAGGAGCAAATAAAAAAAGAACCAAATAATTTTATAAGAATATTTAACCTGTACATATTATAGAAAGAAATCATTTAAGATATTAAGTAAATTATTTCTAAAATTTTTTTGCAATTTCTAATAATGCGTAGAGATTCAATAAATATATATGGGCACGAGTCAGAAACACGGAAAATAAATTCTAACTAATTTGTGAAATCGTGTGAAGTATAATTTGCTAAAGAATCCGTTAAATTGTCATGAACAGGCTATATATGTTTTTAATGATTAATTAGTTCGTCTTGAACACGGATGCCACCCATGCGAAACTCTATGAGAAATGGATGCTGAATGAGTAGATAGAGTCGTACACGGCGCAGATCGTGTCAACAGTCTTTATGACCTTTTTCTTCTAGGTCAATTCAATAAAGTCACGATTATATTTGCAAAATTATTTTGCTAAATATTATGAACATATTAGGTGTTGGAATTAATTCGTAGCGTTTTTTAATGAAAGAATGTTATTTATTTCACATGAGCATTAAAAAATACATTAATGAAAGTACTTCCCATCACTTGTAAAACGCTACGAATTAATTCCAACACCTAATATAATTTTCTTTATTACGATTTTTTTAGAACATTCATAAAATGTACTCCATAAACATTTACGTAAAATGTATTTTAACATTCTGATTTCTGTAATTAATGTAGTATTTGATACGAGATTACTTTTGTATCGTAAATGAGAATGAAATACTAAAATAGAACTTGATTTCATTCAGCTTTTATCATTTAGAGTTTGCAATAATTAGCGAGACCGTTTCATTAGTCCTAATGATTTTACCGCGAAACTTTTATCATACATTAAATTTATATACGCACTTTTATCCACTTTTATTATACACTCGTACATCCACTAATTAAAATGAAGCTTAATTAATTCTATTATGCATCCCTTTTAATTTTAAATGTGTGAAGAAATTTTTTGCTAAATGTGCGCTTACGTTTTACTGAAATATCGCCGAGACAGAATGTCACTTTTCTTGATCTTCAATCACTGGTACAATGAGATTGAAAAGTCAGGTGAACAATGAGTGTCGCGTTCTTTCACTACGATTCCTTCACAACGAGAGCACGCCCGATATTCACGCTACGAGAGGCGGCATGCTACTGGTCAAATCATCCCCCTTTCGCTTGCGAGGCACCCTTGTTATTAGGTCGACGGTAGCGCAGCCATGTGGAGGGTTGGACCACTATTATAATCGCTCTAGTTGGCACATATATTCTGACTTGCCGATTTGGAAATAGTTTGAAATCGCCTCGAAATTGTAGCAATCTTTTTCTATTCTTCATTGCCTATTTGATTCTGATTCTAAGCATCAACGAACAAAAGTGCAGCCATCCTGACTTGAAAACTTTTGCATTTTTGCATTTTTGCAATTTCAATAATATATTGAAAATATTACAATTGCACACCATTTTGTAATATTAATTTCTCTTTAAACTTCTTTCTTTAATTTTTTGTTATTTTTAAGATTATCTTTAAACATTTTCTGTTTTGTGTGTTTTGTAAAAAACCTATTACTTTTAAATAATAAATCCGTAATATCTTTTTAAAATTAAATTATATAAATATCTTAAAATTTTTTTAATGCTAAATATGTATATTTGATCGACTTATTTTGAAAGATTAGCGGATGTATCAAATGATTAAATCAATACGAAAAAGTAAACTATGCCTCTAAGCACTACGATTTCGTAACCAGAATATTACAGTTAAAAATGCTATGAAAATACATTAATACAATTTTTATAATTAGAATAATTTGTATATTTGTATATTTACTTTTCCATCTAAAGATATACACCAACTTTCTTTTACTGAATATTAATTATTTCCTTATAATCGTTAATTAATTAAGCACAAAAAAAACTTAAAAGAATGTAACGTTCGATTTCAAGTAGAATAAAAAATTGCGAATCTGTATTTGTTAAACAAGAAGGGATAATATATAAAATAATATGCCAATTTTTCTGCTAAAGAAAGTCTAAAATTTTTGTCCAGAAAAAAATATAGAATAATTCTGTAGTATATCGATTTGGATATAAAGATTTATATATATATATATATATATATATAAATCTTTATATCCGCACTATTTCGACACCATTAAGTCGTTTGCAAATATCGTATTTTTTTTTTATAACATAGTCCTCCGATTTTACAAAATACATTGAAAATCGTTTGTTAAAACTCATTCGTTGAGAAAGGTCAAGGAGACCTTTTTTTGGAACAATATGTGGAGGCGTTGATAATTTTTATTCGTACCCAATCGATGCGAAGTGTAATTACAGCATCACTAATTTGTGTCGCATTGGAAATTCCTATTTTATAGGATTGATCGTATTGCGATATATTGGACATCGCTAACCAAAAAAAACTTTAGTAATAACGCAGGATGCAATAACATGGAGCAAGAAATAATATTGCGCAGCAATCGATCGCTCCCCATGTTTGCAGAATAATTGCGTACGTCATTCTTAAGATTTATCTGATCTTTAATGAAATTCATTGTTTGAGGAATGTTTAAATTATTAAATATTATAAAAGATCTTGTGCAATAGACAAAAGAAATTTTAATTATCTAGTTACCTATGAGTCTCAGAATAACATTTTAAATAATGGCGAATAGTTGAATAAAAGCTGTTATTTACGGAAAGACTCTAACATATGAAAGCAACATGACTCTTTTGAAGTGATTTAAACGCGTTATTTCAGCGGGTAAACTTCCGGAAAGTAATATATACTGATACATATATCCAGTGCAATTTTTTACTATGCATCTGGTCTCATGAATCTATCTAAAGTTTTAAAAATGGAGGCGCTACCTATAATAAAAAGGTAGGTACATCAAACTTGCAATTCTCTGATGGATAAACTACATGCAAGTTTTATGCGCAGATATGTGTACAACAAAACGAAAAGCAGAAATTAGTTCCAATATGCAAGAATAATAGTAAACAATTTTTGTTACACTACTTTATTATTAGTGAAAATAATAGGGAATGTTGAAACAAATCTTGTTTGAGAAAATAAATTAAGCAAATAATTTTAATTAATCTTGAAAGCTCATCATTAGAGGTTTAAGGGGTTTTGAAATAATAAGCGCGTAGAATATAATTTTCGAGAATATGTTGTAATTTCCTACATCGCGTGCCTCCGGATACGCTAAAACTAATTTACTTTTACATCAAGTTTATCTTTATTTTAGATTAAGATTATAGTTTAATATTATTTATCTTGGTTTCTAATATCATTTAGATCTTATTTTTTTAATTCACGTATAATTCATGATCCATTTATATAAATAGTTGTATATTTAATTATATATTATTAATAATTATATATATTCTTAATTTGTGGAAAAAACTAACGTTTTCAAAGTTAGGCAGGAAATCGAACTTAAAATTAATTTATCTTCCAAATATCATTATTTTTTATATTTTTTAAAAATTCATTGAAAAATATTTTCATTTCGATTATTCGAAAATAATCAAGAATCTTCTATTACCAAATTCGAAATTTAAATTTTATAGTTTTTAATAGTTTAAAGCTAGACAAATATTAATATTTTGACAACCAATAAAAAATAAATCCACAACGTTTAAAAGTCGTCCTTTGATCTCATATATAATTCATCTCATATACATACATATTGTACAAGATCAAAGATCGAACTTCATCCGTTATAGGCTATTATTTCCTATTGGTTGTGTTTTCACATGTATGATGTCCAAGATTTTTATTCTTTTTCGTCTTCTTAGGCCTCTGGCCTGTGTACCTCTTTCATATGCTTGTGGTATGCACGCTGATTATTCAATTGCCACAAGCATTTCACACAAGTTTTTCGAGAGGTTTTTCTGAGGACAAAGATACTTTCGGAAAGCCTTTTTCGAAAGAAGACACGTAAATATTTTGATTCCTACCCGAGATCGAACCGGGATCTGTGGTATGATAGATCAGTGCGCTATCTATCATGCCACGCTTGTGCTTTCAAGAGTTTTTGTTATTTATCAATACTTTAACGTTCTTGAGAGATAATTATAAAGAAATCCAAATATTTGAAATCAACTAACGATACAATTTATTCATTATAATGATTATACACTTAATTTATTATATGGATTGTAATGTTTGTTTATTAAGATAACTATTTACCACTTTATCCATTTATATACCATAAGTATATTAGTCAATTGAAATTGTGGTATCATTTGATTTTAGTAATGAATCTATTTGGTTTTGTCATTACGATTCTCAGGTTGATGGATTATGCTAGAACATTACTGCGCAATTTCAGTATATGACATTAGAACGACGCGCAAGATCATCTCCTCTCGAAATTACTTTAGACCAACTACTTAGCGTTGAATTAATTCATCGCAAAACTAATTTTCTAAATAAACACCAGTAAAATACGTACCAGAACAAATCTATCCATTTCAAATGTTGCTTAATATTAAAAAAATAATGATAAAATTACTCGATTCTAAAATTAAATTGTATCAAAAAGAATAAAGAACTTGTACTGATATTTTGTAGTTGCGATAAATAATTATGCAATATTTTGCTTATGTTTGTGAAGGTACATATATCAGTGTAAAATATGCTTGTGAGCTTGTGTAAGTTCAATTCTTGCAGGCTCGCGTAGAGGATGATTTATAGTCGAAACGTGCAGATATATAACAGCGATAGTATTTGCGTTGCAAAAGCTGCTTTTATATTAGATCGAAACATTTTTGCGAATTACGTAGATTATTCATTTAAAGAGTATTTATTACAAATATATACGTCCAATATTTAATTCACATATTATTTATAAATTGTTTAACTATTAACAATTAGTGATGCACGCAATATTCGAGACTCTTGACTTCACGATTCTTGTCTCGTCTTGCTTTCAAATCAAGACGATATTAAGATAATATTGATTTAATAAATTTCGATATAAGGCAATAGTGCCTTTTCAAGATCAATTTTGGCTCAAGAATATCGAAAATATCAAATATAAAATGAATAAATATATTTTTAGAAAACAGACATACATAAGTGCATTAAGCAATATAATAGATGTTTTAAGCTTTAAGTAAATTGTAAGAAATTGCAGTCAATTACAGTCAAATGCGAGGAGAATAAGCGACTATAATTCATCCATTTCTTAAGACTTAAAAATCTATTGTAGATCCGAGCTAACCCTATGTCTATGGGTTTATGCTCCCATTAGCGTTTCTCTCACTTTCTTTTGTTAGAGAGAGAATGGACATTCAGATTGTGTTCCCTCCCTTTTACATATTAATCATCGATATCCTTGTCTCGCATATGGCAGTGCTTAGTCTATCTATATTATGGCCGATATTCATAGTCCGTTCTTATTTCAAGATCTAATACGACCCTCTGGTTAGTTCGTGACATCTTAAGACTATACTTAAGATAATCTTGAATATAGGAATCGACTATAATACCACCCTATGTCTATCGAAATCATCACTGACATTGAGGATAGGCTAACGCAACTAAAAATTTGCTGCTACAACCAAAAATTGATTGCTGTAGCCATATAAAAATGCTATGTCATATTTTATTATCTAAATTGTTGCAGCAACCAATCTTTTCTTTCAGTGCAGCCAATTAGAAATTTTTTAAACGTAAAAATTTGTAAAAGAGTAGATATTTTCAAGAATATCGAAATCGAGACAGATTTATTTTCGATCTCAATAATGAGATCGAGACGAGAATTAATTTTTCAATATTTTGCGAGACGAGACAATATTTTAAAAAATATCTTGTCTCATTTTAGTGCATCACTATTCACAATTTATATATTACCTTTAATTGGAACGGAGTTATGTTAGATAGATTTTTTGTTTTATACATACAGTTATTTTTTTTATAACTTATGCTTCCTTTCCTTTGACAATTATGCTAATAAATTAAGAATTGTTTTAAATATTTTAAAAAAATATAATTTATTTATTTATTCTCTTTACTATATTATATTTTATTACTTTTTATTAGATTATATTTTATTGTAATATCCTATTCTGTTATATAGAACCAAAACTTGAGATTTTTTGTTATATTTCTAGAAATTAAAA